TAGAGACAGGGTTTCACCATGTTGGCCAGGCTGGTCTTGAACTCCTGACCTCAAGGGATCCACCTGCCTCGGCCTCCCAAAGTGCTGGGATTACAGGCATGAACCATGATGCCTGGCCAAAAATTATTTCTCAGAGGTGATATTGATCAATGGATAAAGTCAGGAGGGGCTAGGCTATGTTGTATTAACAAATATCCCCTAAATACCATTTAATTATTTCTTGCCTGTATTACATGACCAATTTGAACTTGTGTGGGGTGTGTGTGTGTGTGTGTGTGTGTGTGTGTGTGTGTGTGTGTTGGGCAGAAGGAGGCAGTCCTTTAATCATTAGGAGCCTACACTTGACAGACATTCCGTCTTGGGATGTTTTCAAGACCACAAGGACAGGAAAAAGGGCACCTGGCAAAATGTGCAGTGGCTTGTGATGCTCCTACCTGGAAGTGATGCATGTCTCATGTTCTCACAATTCATTAGCCAAAGAAGTGACGTGGCCATGACAATTTTCAAAGGATGTAGAGTACTGCAAGCCCTCCGTGAGCCTGGAAGGAGCAAGAATCAGAATATTTGTGAACAGCTGAAATGACTACCACAAATTAGAAAGTGACCCAGGGCTTCCCAAACAATCAAGCAATCACCCGTTAGAAGGAATAAATATTCCAGACTTCCTTTCTCTTACTTTATGTTTATTTCCAAATGCCCAGCAGAAGGCAGTTAAAGTTTCAAATAAACATGAACTCCTTGGAAACAGTTGATTTGTGTTTACATGGGAAGGTAGTATTCTGTATCTGATAGCATCTCTGTGGCTCTAGAGAAAACTATAGTTTGATATTAGAATAAACTACCAATCCTTTTTTTTTTTCAGATGGAGCCTTGCTTTGTCACCCAGCCTGGAGTGCAGTGGTGTGATCCTGGGTCATTGTAACCTTCGTTACCTGAGTTCAAGCAATTCCCCCACCTCAGCCTCCTGAGTAGCTGGGATTGCAGGTGTGCACCACCAAACCCAGCTAGTTTTTTTTTCTAGAAACGGGGTTTCACCATGTTAGCCAGGCTGGTCTCAAGCTCCTGGCCTCAAGTGATCCACCCACCTTGGCCTCCCAAAGCTCTGAACTGTAGGCAAGAGCCAACACGTCTGACCTACTACTCATTCTTTTTTTTTCTGAGATGGAGTCTAGCCTCTAGCTCTGTCACCCAGGTTGGAGTGCGCAGTGGTGTGATCTCAGATCACTGCAACCTCTGCCTCCCGGGTTCAAGGGATTCTCCTGCCTCAGCCTCCTGAGTAGCTGGGGTTATAGGCACCTGCCACCATGCCCAGCTACTTTTGTATTTTTAGTAGAGATGGGGTTTCACTGTGTTGGCCAGGCTGGTCTCAGACTCCTGACCTTGTAATCCGCCCTTCTGGGCCTCTCAAAGTGCTGGGGTTACAATCATGAGCCACCATGCCAGGCCCCAAGCATTCTTTAAGAAGAAATGCTTAGGTTCTTGCTATCCAAAATTGTAGTATGGGACCAGCAGCATCAGTATCATCTGGGAGTTTGCTATAAATGCAGCTTCTCAGCACCGGATTAAAATATCTGGGAAATGACCATGAAATCAATGATATATCACGTTTAAAATTATATAATCAGAGTCTGACAGGTTTTTTTTTTTAACTGATCTTTTTAAAATTTAGATTTTCAAACTGTTATAAAGCTTACAACTAAAAAAATGTACAGTGATTAATCATAGGAGAAGCAAAACGCACTATATTTAAAAGTTGTGTGTGCATAATATTTTGTTTCATGAAGGCATCTCATGGGGCTGACATCTTAATTTTGTAGTTTCAAAGAGAATGACAGTTGTAAGATGCTGGCTTTAGGGAAGGGCAGATGATACAATATTGAGCACAACCTACATGTCTCACAACACTGAAAACCAAAACGTTCAGGTTTTCTCCACACTTCTTTGGATTAATGATCAGGTCCTCAAAGACAAACTTCCATTTCCAAACTTTATGGAATGCACACATTCTCACAGTCTATCTGAGACACCACCCATTCTGGGGAGAGGGTATTCTGGTGCATGTAAAAGACACACTATTCTTAACTTTAGCACAGTAGTACACATCAGAGGCAACAGTCATATTTGGTTTTTTTTTCATCCCTAAAAACAAGAATGTATCCACAAAAAAAAGTAGTCAGAATGAAGTAAAATTAAAGAAAATTAATTGGACAAAATTATTTCCTCCCTGAATTTGGGGAGGAAGAGTGGTACTTTTCAGGAAGTTTCAGCCAACATTATCCCAACCTCCCAGGAAAACAGAAACCTGATTTGGTGCTCAACAATAATGCCTAGATTTGTTTAATGCTTGTTGTGAAAATAATTTCACTCTAGATAAATTTTTAAGGTAATCACCACCTGGGGAGAGAAAGAAGACACAAACAAATTGCCATACATTTTGTGGCTCTATCTAATATAAATAAGACAATCTATCCACCAGTTTTATGATGCATTTTCCTTTATACATGGCTCCTTCTCAAAACTACGGCAGCAAGATACCAAAATCATTTAATGAGAAACATAAAACACATGCAGATAAGATAGGGAAATGTATGTGTATTCAGAATCACTAAGAGACACCTCAGTTATCATCCTTATAATTTAGACGTCTTGACACAGTTTTATTCCTTACTGTTTGTAGTAATTTTTCTGCTACTCCCAAAATAAGCGAGTTTTATCATCTGCAGATACATGATACTTGGATAGGGTGGTTATAGCCCTGCCTCCTCGCTTTTCTCAATCTAAAGAAAACCTGTTTCACAGGAAAGTAAATCATGATGCTTAACCAAAATACGAAAGATCAGACTGAGCAGAACTAAAAAAACTCTTTTGCTCTTCTAGTTTTCAAAAATGTGTTTTTGACATCTGCTTCCTGATCTGACCCTCAAGAAGTGGATCTGGTTATAAACAGATGATGTTTTACAGTACATGTGACCAAAGTTTAGCTGCTATAATATTCTTAACCAGGCTATGCAAGGTTTCTCACAAAACCAGAAAAGCTTCTCTCTCCCTATCATTCCCTTCCTGTACTGTTTTCAATTACTGGCTTCTCAATCATTCAGGAAACCACTGAGAACCATTAACAGGTTATTGGAATGCCCAGAGTGACTGCCCAAGGACAGGAAAAAGCACTGGCTCTTTTTAGAAGAACCTGGAAAAGCACAGGCAGACCACTGCTGCTGAGTTGGCAATGGATGATTTCCTTCTCACAGTGTACTGTACAATAGCTGTAATTTAATGGTTAATAGAACACAACATGCAGTCTGTCTTCAGGCCTCTGTGTTTCCTGTGGTATTTTCTTCCCAGGTTGGAATGTCTTTGCATAATCACATCTTATTCTCTTTTAACAGTTACCAACTCTTGGCTAGATACACTTACATAATACAGTCAGAATATTGTTTATTCACAGCAGTTTAGCCATTCTCACTATCATCAAACAGAACTAATTGCTGAGATGCTCATTCTAATGCACAGAACAGCTTGTCCTTTGTTATTTAGAAATTGTTTATATTGTTTATATTCTCTTTTAATTTGTTCAAGATATACTCATAATTCTTTAACTGAGATAGGACATTTCTTCTCATTTATTTATTTATTTTAGAGATGAGATCTCACTATGTTGCCCAAGCTGATTTTGAACTTCTGGCCTCAACCAGTCCTCCTGTCTCAGCCTCCCAAAGTGCTGGGATTACAGGTGTGAGCTATTGTACTCAGATATTTCTTCTAGTTTTAGGTCTCTATAATAAAATGATGCTTTTCTGTGATCCCTTAACATTGTCTACATGTATGTGCATGTTCATATTTGTTTTACTGTTGCCTAGTTTTCCAATTCATTCATTCTTTTATCCAATACATGTTAATTATCACTTTTCTAATTGCTAAGGGTACCTGAGTAAGCAGAGCAGACAAAACCCCCACCCTTAAGAAATTTGTATTGTTTTCAAGTTGTTGTAACTTTAGGGTTTTTTTTAAAAAATAAAAATTCCAAGTTGAGAAAACCAATCTGACAGCTACCTCCTTCACCAATATATGCATGTTATAGCCAGAATTCAGAAATAACATTTATGATCATTTATTTTGTCTGGCAATGTGGCAATCATTTTACATTTATTTTAGCTTATTTAATGCTCACAACTAGAAGGAGGCACTATTAGGATACCTATTTTACAGATGAAGAAAGTGAAAGTCAGAGAGAATAGTTAAGAGAAGGGTACAAGATTAAGTTCCCCTCGACCCTTAACCATTTCATATTCCAGGTGATGCTTTGCAGACATCTGAGGAATGGATAAATGAACGAATGCACGCACTTCTTGGAATTCCCATTCAGCTTGGCATAAACACTAACTGCTTAGATTACCCTAGAAAAATCTAGACATTTTGTGGGAAGAGAAGAGTGGGAAGGGTGGTAGGGAATTATTTTTTCGAGTGAGTTGAGGCAGATGATCTTACAGATGACTGGGTTCTATCCGGGCATGGTTGCCACATCTCAAAGACGAGAATAGGGCAGACACCGAGTTCTGTCCGCCCTGGGTAGCCTCTGAGATTCGAGCTCAACAGCAGAGTGCTGGAGGACAGTTCCTGCAGTCCCAGGAATCAGACTTGGAGGCAGGAGGAACTGGCTATCCTAAAGGCGATGTTCAACCGGGCAGCCGGAGCCCCAAGAAGGGCGAACCCAGGACTAATTGCCCCACAGCATGAGGGGAAGCGCCTGTAAAATTACATAGGATTTGGAAAGGTGTTAGGCACTCTTGTGCGGGTAAAGCTTCGCAAGGTCGTGGCAGGGGAAATTATTCATTTCCCTTCCCTATTCCCCTGCAGCATGGTCCCCGCAACCCCCCTCTCCTTCCCCATTCGCGTCTCCGAACTCTTCGCCTGCCCCACAGGCGTACGCACGCGCAGAGAGACTCCCAGACGTGGCCGCCAGAGAGCCGGAAGCATCGATCGACTCCGTGCTCGGCTTCTAGACTTGTCGATGCTCGATTGAGGAGCCTGGTAACGTCACTTCCGGGGCCTGGTTCGGTTTCCTGCTTTTCGTTCTTGCGAGGGACGGCGTACGCCTTAGGTGGGTTGGTGCGCTTTTTACCTCCTTGTTCTTTCGGTTCTCCTGACTCCTCCGCCCATTTCTCCCCTGTTGCAGCTGGGAGCGGACGAAGCTTGAAGCTGGGGTGGGGACGCGTTTGCTCCGGGGTTCTCGGAGGTGTAGTCTTAGGGGCGAGAAGAGATGGAGACTGGCGCGCGCGACTGGCTGGGGCCGGGCATCGCGTGTTTGCTCCCTCGGACTTCTTGCCGGGGCCGTGGGCGAGCGTGCTTGTGTCTAGAGGGGTGGGAGGCTTGCGCGTACCAAGGAAAGGATACTTAATGTCCGTCTGTTTGTGCGAGGCCTGGGCCATTCACTGGGCTTTCAAGGTGTCTTCCAGCGGCTCCCTTTTGGTAGTGGCGGGTAATTCAGGGTGGCCCTGTAGCAATCAAAGCTGTCATCAGACTTCGCAGGAGACCCTGCAGGAGCCTCCCCTTTGCTCCCCTACCTTCGGTTTGACCTCTGCCTCAATCACTTCCCTTTCGTCGTCTCCTTTGCAACTCCTGCTCCTTCTCCAGATTTCGATTTAGAGGGTCGCAAGCCTTTGAGGAGCGTTACGCAGCAGCCCGGCTTGTAGGCTCTTCCCTTGTCAGTCGTCCAGTGCTGCTCACATACAGTGGATGCTCTGTAAATACTTGTGACATAAAGAAACTTACGGAGCACACAAGGAAATCAAGCAAGTTCACAATTTGCAAGTAAAAACAATGTAGAAAATGCAATTGTGTGGTAGATGAGAAAGAAAAATGTAGAGAAAGCGAGGGCTGAATTTCCAGGCCTAATGCTTATTAGTTGTGTGACCTTAGGCAAGTTCCTTAGCTGGTAATAGCTGTTAATAATTACTCCTAAGTGCTTACCGCTGATGCAGAACGTGCTAGAACTCGCTCAGTCTTCTGAGTTCTATTGGGTAGGTTCTGTTACTATTCTCGTTTTACCAATGAGGACCTGAGAGATTAAGGAACTTCCCTCAGGCAAACAGCTAGTAAGAAGCATAGACATGATTTGAATTCACATCTGGCTGGCACTAGAATCCGAGTTTAACAATCATGCCACACTGCTCTCATTGAGCTCCGTTCTTTCAGGTCGGTTAGAGGTAACCTTCGAATCCAGATAGCTCGGTGACACTGTATACAGATTAAGCGGTAGGTATGGAAGGACTTATAAGTGCGCCCATGAACTCGTTGGCAAACTTCATTAATGTCTAATCTTATGATTTTTACTGGATGTACATTTGCTACTTTGTCATTTTTCTTCAAATCTGTATTTTTAAATTATTTCATCGAGCAGGTGGAAAGACAATATCACTTGTCATAAATGAAAAGTAAGTGTAAAAATAAATGTGTTGAATTACATATTGTTACAAAAATCTGGCTAGGTATTGGTGCCCCAAGTTTTGAGCGTGAGACACTGTTCTCCTTTTGTATGAAAGGGAGGGCTAGTAGGTGCTGGAGATGCAATAAAGACTACAGCCAAACTGACGTTTTCTGACAATTGGGAATTGAAAGAGAAGTGAAAAGCTAATAATTTTTGTGTCGTGTCCTTATGCTACAGTCCAGTATAATTTCATTTTCCTTTTCGTAACAGATTATTTACTGTCTGTTTTTGAAGAATTTAACGCAAACATGGATATCAGACCAAATCATACAATTTATATCAACAATATGAATGACAAAATTAAAAAGGAAGGTAAGTGCTTTTTAAAATACTTGTTCACAACTAAAATGTGTTTACTACTGTCTTAAAAATTGTACTGCCTCAAAACCTCTCACCTTGTCATCTTAGTGCTTGAAATAATGGTTTATCCCATTTCCTGTAAAGATGGGAAGGCTTTTAAAAAACAAAAATAAGTAGGAACTGACAGTGTGTTCAGTCTGTTGCTACTCAAAGATATAATGGTTTCATATAACTTTTAAAATTACATATAGTCAATGGGAATAGTATATGTTTTTTATAAATGTTAATATAACTGTATACATAAGTGAATGGTGTTGGTAACTCAATACAGTATAAATTGAAGACTTTTATCATTATTTTATTCACCAGTGACTTGTTTCTTTTCTAATTTGGACAGAATTGAAGAGATCTCTCTATGCCCTGTTTTCTCAGTTTGGTCATGTGGTGGACATTGTGGCTTTAAAGACAATGAAAATGAGGGGGCAGGCCTTTGTCATATTTAAGGAACTGGGCTCATCCACGAATGCTTTGAGACAGTTACAAGGATTTCCATTTTATGGTAAACCAATGGTAAGCTAATCCTGTTATTTTCACTTTAATCAAGAAACTAATGATATTAATGGTAGAGTAGATATGCAAATATGCTTGAAACTGTGGCTGTTGCTTTCTGCTTTTATTATGTATGTCTAGATTTATGTATTTTTATAGAAAAACAGTAGCAGTAGAGTTTAATTTATGACACTTCAGATGGGCAAAAACAAAATACACTGAGATGTAGGATGTTTTTAAAAATGGCAGTCTAGGCGATATTCTTATCTCAAAAAGTTACAAATTAATAATAACCTGGAAGACTTGAAACCTGTTTATAAACTTGTAAAACATTACAAAAGCCATGAATCAAAGAAGAAATTCAGTCTGAAGTTTTAGAAAATGCTAATAGTGAAATACTATATGTCAGAAGCTATACAGTCGAGATGAAACAATGATCGAAGGAAAAATTATAGGTTTCAACTCATAGGATTAAGGAATAACAATGGAAATGAACTGGTTATTCATAGAAAGTTTTAAACTCAGGAATGACATAATGAGTTTCACATCTAGCTGCGGGATGAAGATCATGTTGGGGGAGGGACAGAAAGGAAGTGAGAAACTCAATTAGGAGGTCCTTGGTGTAAGTCAGAGATAGTAGAGGGTCAGATAAGGCTGATCACAGAGTGAAGCAAGTGAGTGAATACCCAGCACCTTGGGTGTAGATTTGGAGCGTTGGACAAAGAGCCAAGGCCCAGGGTTTAGAGGAACTGGGTCTTCATTCTCATACTCTTAACTGGCTCAGTTTCTGTGGTCAGCTTTACCACCTATGAAATGTAAACAAATTGGTTGTTCTTTGGTCTAATGCGGGCATCAACAAAAACTGTAAAGAAGTACATAATACTTTAGGCTTTGTAGGCCATATAAGGCTTCTGTTACCTATTCTTTTATGTGCTTAATGTTTTTTAACAACCCTTTAACATTATCTAAAAAATAAAATTCATGTAGGCCATGCTGACGCCGGCTGTGGGCAGGGTTTGGCTCACAGAGTGTGGTACAGACCACTGATCTAATCCGTTCATTCTACAGATGAAGAAGCAGGCACGGAAAGTTTAATTGTTCATCCAGGTTATAGTAATATGGCCGCGTCAGGAGTTGTCAACTAATCTTAACAGCTAGTATTGTGATTTTTTTTTTTTTTTTTTAATATGCTGCAAGTCAGCAAACTTTCTGTAAAGACCCAGGTAATAAATATGTTAGACTTTGCCAGCCAGATAATCTGTGTTGCAACTACTGAGTCAACTCCACTTTTATAGCAGGAAGAGCAGTCACAGATAAGGACAGGCAGTGTTGGCTACAGACAGTAGTTTGAGGACCCCTGTTTTATACCATGATGTTTAATTCAAGACCGAGCACCTTTTTTTTCTGTTTCTAGAGCAAGTTCTTCTCATCCTCTATCCAGCTCTCCTTTTCCCATCACTTCCCAGCTGACTGGCCACCATTTTTGTGGAAAGGCCTATCCAAGGAAACTGGGATGGTTCCTATGTTATCTAATTTTTAGTAAATTGGTGTTTCCTGAAACCAGCCAGTTGCCTGTAGTAGTATGAAGAAACACCATAATTGAGATCTCACTTGGCAGCAGCATAGGGACTGGGTTTTAGTTTACCTCTAAAATCACATTAACTTGAGGTACAATTTCTTCCCATAGAGGGCTTAGAGCTCTTTTGCTGAGTTGAGATGACAAGTTTGCACATGTCCGTTACTCAGATACAGGAAAGGAAAGTGTTGGCTGTGTTGGGCACCACCCTCACCTTGCCAACTAATTATTTTTTTTTAAATTAGTGGGAAAAGTGTATTAGATTGTTATTAAAGCATTTTGGGAGGTCCATTCTTTCCCTTCAGAAAGGTAAATTTCCAGAGTAGAGTGGGAGTGGTGGGCTGTCTTGTTTATGTCTTATTGTGGTTTTAGTTGCTCTTCTGTTTTCACTCCAACATACCAGATCAGAAATGAACAAAATTTGCTAGAATTTGGAACTCAGAACAAAATTACTCTTTCCGATTCAAGGGCATTTAGTTAATGCGAAAAGTGCCCTAGTAAAGTAGAACCGTCTTCCTAAGGGCTTCGTCATTGAAGCTGTGGCATAAGTGTAAATCTGGCCTTTCTCTAAGTTGTGGGTGGACTTTTATCTCTACTAGGTATTTAGTCCAGACCAGGGTTTCTCAACCCTGTCACTTTGGACATTTTGAGGTGAATGATTCTTTGTTGCAGGGGGCTGTCTTTTTCATTACAGGGTGTTTAACAGCATCCCTGGCCTCTACCCACTAGATGCCAGTAGTATAACCACCAGTAATGTCTCCAGCTGGTGCCAGCTGTGTCCTGGCAGACCAAATCACCTCTGGTTGAGAACCACTGGTTTAAATTAGCCAGCTAAGAGTTATTGCTGAGATCAGATATTTTCACAGGTGACTGGGTCGTGGTCATAAGGACAGATAAATCCGGTCACCCAAGATCTATTCAGGTCAGGTACAAGGTTGAAGAGCCAAGGGAGTTGTGAGGAAGCCTTAGGACCAAGTCAGAAGTTAGTGTAAGCCTTCAGCCTGTCTCCTTTTGGTTAGGTGATGATGGCAAGACTATCAGAGTTGCTTGCAGGGATCAGCACACTTAGAGCCACTGTGGTACAGCAGCCCAGACCAACCAGAAAGAGCCTGGGATTCTGAGGTATGGCTTTAGGCCTGCTCCCTCCCCTTTTGTTTTCCCAGTATAGTCATCTCTAGCTGAAGTAAAGGAAGAGGAAGAATTCATCCTGCTTTTGACTAATTCTCTGCTTTGTTAATCCACACTACTTTAAAATATTTCTTGTTCTCTTCAAGACCAAATTCTTGGTGTACAGGGCAATAAAATTTTGCATACCTATTTTATACGAGGGAATTTGTACAGTTTACTACAAAGCAACTGCTTTGTAGGTCTGTTGCATTTTGATCAGAGAATCAGTAATTCTTTCAGCTCCATGGAAAAAAAGTTTGCTTGAAATGGAGGTTGGAGATTGCAGATAGTCATACCTAGGTAACTGTTTAACTCATGCTAGAAATATTCAGACAGTTCATTGGTACTGAGTCTAGCCATGTGATAATGCTTTAGGCCAGGGCTACTCAAAGTGTGGTCCCCATGCCAATAACATTAGCATCTTTGTGCTTGTTACAAGTGGAGAATCCCACGTTTGCCCAGGCCTACTACATCAGAGCTTTTACCTGCTTTCCAGGCATTTGGAATGTAAAGTATAATTAATGAAATGCTATCCTGGACAAGTTTTTGAACCCTTCCCAGTTTTTTTTTTTTGAGACGGAGTTTCACTCTTGTTACCCAGGCTGGAGTGCAATGGCGCGATCTCGGCTCACCGCAACCTCCGCCTCCCGGGTTCAGGCAATTCTCCTGCCTCAACCTCCTGAGTAGCTGGGATTACAGGCACGCACCACCATGCCCAGCTAATTTTTTGTAGTTTTAGTAGAGACGGGGTTTCACCGTGTTGACCAGGATGGTCTCGATCTCTTGACCTTGTGATCCACCCGCCTCGGCCTCCCAAAGTGCTGGGATTACAGGCTTGAGCCACTGCGCCCGGCCGAACCCTTCCCAGTTCTAACAGGTGCCTCTTGGTGCCAGCATAGAAGGAATATGCAAGGGGTCCAGTCATATTATCTGTGATTCCATTCTTTTTTTTTTTTTTTTTAACATTTTAAAATTTAGTAAGTTGATGTCACTGCTAAAGTCATTTCCTGTAAAGGTGATGTATTCAAAGGAAAGTGATTCGCAGTCATCTGCTGTACTTTAACTATTGGAAGTAACATTCCATATGACACATTCCACAGCTGATTGACACATGTTGATGCTTCTATTAAGAGTCACTGGTAAGGGGAAGTCAACTCTCCAATGCATTTTTTGTTGTTGTTTTTATTCTGTGTGTGTGTTTTTTAAACACACCTGTTTATAGCAAGTTTATTCATAATCGTCAAAAACTGTAAACAACCCAAATATCCTTCATTGGGTGATATAAAACAAACTGGTACAGCAATACCATGAAATTCTACTCTCTGTTAAAAGCAGTGACATAGATGAATCTCAAAGGCGATTATGCCAAATGAAGGCAGCCTCCGGGTTACATCATGCATGATCCTATTTGTGTGACGTTCTGGAAAAGTCAGCAGGGACAGAGAACAGATGACTGTTTGCAAGAGGAGGGATGGGGCAACAAAGGGGAAGCATGAGGGGATTTTTAGGTGATAGAATTGCTGTACAGCTGTTTTAGGTGTTAAAACTCAGAGCTGTACATCCAAAAAGTTATGCAAAAAAGTTAAATGCAAAAATTTATGTTTAGAATTTTTTAAAATGAAAAAGAAATCCAAATGATCTTCTTTTTAAAAATGCTTTAAAATAAATTTTCTGTCTAGTTTTCTTGCCAGAAAAGTTTTTCTGTGGGGGCTCTGCCGTATCAGCCCTAGTGTTCTGTGAGCCTATTCTTCTGTCTGTAAAACAGGGTTAGTCTAGAACAGTGATTTTCTTTCTTTTTCCCAGGCTGCCCCAGATTGCATCCCTGGGTGCTTGCTCTGTGACTGTGGGGTTGTGGGCATTGGGGAGGAAAGGGCTTTTGGTCTCCACTGGGCTCTGGAGCCATAATTCTGTGTTCGGTTGGGCAGTTTTACTTTTGTTTGTTTGTTTTTTTGAAGTTTTCAAATTGTTTATTATTGTCACAAAATCTAGCATAAAAGTAAATCGGATTCAACTAAATTGTGTGCTTTAGGAGCACATGCATTTGCTCATTCTTTTTGGACTATAACCTTGAATTCAACTGGTAATTTTTCCTAGATTATCTGTCTTTTGTTTGTTTTATATGTTGTTTGTTGAAAACCTCTGGATTAAAATAGCTGGCCTTGAGCCAGATCCTTAGGCACTGAGGAGATTTGTACAGTTTGGATTCCGAAGCCCGCTGGCAGGGCCCATTCATTTGTCCATTTAACATTTCAACGCAACTTTCTCTATTCTTTGATTAAATGGAGAGAAACCGTGGTACGTATATTTAAAGTCCTGTTTTTCTCACATGAAAATGAATGGTTTTTTATCTCATAAATACAGTTAAATCTAACTTTGCCTACATGTTGAATTACAGCCCAGTTTACTTCCATTTGGCACTCAGTATATTTTGTCAGATTTCCTTAGGGATATGTTTAAAATTAGCTTGTAGTGTATTTGCTTAATGAAATTTGAAATATTAATGACTAAACATCCTTCAGTATAAGGAGAAGTAACCTGTTTTCAAATAATTAAAACAGCGAATACAGTATGCAAAGACAGATTCGGATATAATATCTAAAATGCGTGGCACCTTTGCTGACAAAGAAAAGAAAAAGGAAAAGAAAAAAGCCAAAACTGTGGAACAGACGGCAACAACCACAAACAAAAAGCCTGGCCAGGTAAGGTAGACCGCAGAAGTTCCTGTTTGTATTGGTGTTAAAAACCTGATAGATGCTTGTCTTACACGTTAGGAATACTCTTAGGCTTGTCTGTATGTGTGCACAAATGTGTGTTTAAAAGATGGTTTTAAGAAGCTAGAATGATTGACTTCCAAAATTCAGTGTTAAGAAACAAAATATCAACTTAACATATGCAGATTTATATTTAGCAGTTTAAATTTGCATGGCATTTAATTCCATTCCCTAAAATATGTTAATACCTTTTGGCTTATTTCTCAAGTTTTGCTGCCTATAAATAATACTATAGTTATTATCTTTAATCATGAGTACTTCACTCAAAGTGTCTTTCTTTGAACAACTCAGTAATACAAAATATAATTTGAAATACTAGATAAAAGCGAAATTAACTGCCAGGAATGGTGGCTCATACCTGTAATCCCAGCACTTTGGGAGGCTGAGGTGGGTAGATTACTTGAGATCTGGAGTTTGAGACCAGCCTGGCCAACGTCGTGAAACCCTGTATCTACTAAAAATACAAAAAATTAGCCAGGCGTGGTGGCAGATACCTGTAGCCTCTACTCTGGAGGCTGAGACAGGAGAATCACTGAGACCTAGGAGGGGGAGGTTGCAGTGAGAGGTGGAGGTTGCAGTGAGGCCAGCTTGTGTCATTGCACTCCAGCCTGGGTGACAAGGGCAAGGCTCCCTCTGAAAAAAAAAAAAAAAGTGAAATTAACCAAAAAGTAATTACTTCTGGATTGAAAGTGATTAAAAGTCAATTTTACTAAATCTAATTGACTTATGTCCAGTTGTGTTTTAAAAGTAAGACTAGACCTTGGTTTTCTCTTTTGTATTTCTCCATAATTTTAAATCTAAGAGGTTAAATTTTATAATATACTGTTTAAAGTTTAGGGCTAGCCTTAACAAAAATGACCAACAAATTAAAAGCATGAATGTTTGAGTCAGTGTTAATATATAAATTCTTAAAGTAAAATTAAATGGAGTAAGAAGGATATCTATTGGAATTAATGTTATTTTTACACAAAAATTATAAATACCTGCTGCCTTTCTCAAGGAATTGGATATTTAAACTCTCCCTATTTCTTTTGCTTAGGGAACTCCAAATTCAGCCAATACCCAAGGAAATTCAACACCAAATCCTCAGGTAATTTTTTTTCCATGTCTCCCTTAAAATAAGATTATAAAAATGATAACAGTAGTATAAAACAACTTGCATGTCTCTAAAAACAAAATGTTTTCATCTCCAAGACACAGTGTGTTAAATTGTGTGCCACTGTAATTTAGAAACTCTCCCCTGAAGAACATTTTAATTCTTTTTCAGAGGGAGAAAACAACACCTGACTTTATTTCTTGCTTCTGTAATGAATCAGTGACAGAATCAAAATGACAGACTTTAAACCCTGTGAGGGCTGGGAGCAAACAGTTTTTGTTTTCTCTGCTGTACCTAAAGCTTTACAAACGCAATTGCTTGGGTGAGGGTAACTGGCAGGGTCAGGGACACTCTTCATTCCGATTGGTTGAAACACTACAGTGTTTTCTGGAGACACACATTATTCGGGCACATAGTTTTATTGTTACCTTTGCTCTCACTTCCTCAACACAAATATATTTCAGTATTTTTTTTTAAAGCCTTCTTGTACAAATGTTTTAGAAACTCCGTATTAAATCTCCCCACGAAATACCTCAAAGAGAAAGCCTCAGTATTGTGCTGATGGTTTCATACTTGTTTTTTCAGATGGCCTTGAGTTGTTCACTAATTGTTTTTTACACTTGCTCTTTTATCTTAAATGAAACTAGCCTGAAGACAGAGCTCATTTTTTATATACAAGACCCTTTTTCTGTTTTCCCATAACCTCTGGGTGGGATATCAAATGACTAATATCTAATAAACTAAGGGAGTGTTACTGCTTGTTTGTATGTAAACTACATGTTGTGGATATCTCATTTACTTGCCAAAAATTAGTAGACAAAGTCCCTAAGGAGTGGTTCTCAGTGGAATCTTTCTAGTTCCAATTTTTTTAATATATATGCTAGGAAGTAGTAATAGTACAGAGGAAATGAGTATCTGAGTGATACCGAGTATGGTAACCAGCTACGGAGGGGTGACATTGCTGGCCTTCTCAAATTTTGTTAATATCTTTGATTATGTTATCCAGGTGACAAAATTCTCTGCTTACGACTCATCTCCAGATGCTTAAAACATAATTGTTTCACATACTGCTAAACATATAAGAGATCTGTAATTTTCCAAACTTTTAATGTCTTGACTTGAATGTCTGCCTTACTTAGTTACTGTAATGTTTTTATTTCTGCAGTGTCATTGTTCTTGTTTGATATAGTAAGATTTCACATGCCTAGCTTACAATGCTGTTTAAACTTGCAAGCTAACTTTGCCTTTTTACTTTTTAATAGGTCCCTGATTACCCTCCAAACTATATTTTATTCCTTAATAACTTACCAGAAGAGACTAATGAGATGATGTTATCCATGCTGTTTAATCAGTAAGTTTTTTCATAAATAATTCTGTTTCCGAGAGCTTCCTGTCAAGACAGGTAGCACTTCCATAGGTTGAATCCATTTATCACCCTTACAGGTTCATTGATTTGTTCTGGGATGAATCATGAATTGGAGCCAGTTTGCTGATTTAGCAAATAAAAAGCTAATTTCCTCTAATGTTTTGAATTCTTAATTCTGAATTGATATAACAAAGCTTTGATATAATATAAAAATAGAATTAGTTTACTTTATTCCTGCAGTTCTTCCATGGTATTAATTATATTTTAGGCTCTTCTATCTACTCCGTATTCTTGATTATTTTTCTTTGACCAGTATTAGTAAGTTGCTTAATAAATTTTAACACAAAGCAAACATTTATGTACTTGCATGTATACAATAATTGTTTTTCTTCTTCATAGGTTCCCTGGCTTCAAGGAAGTACGTCTAGTACCAGGGAGGCATGACATTGCTTTTGTTGAATTTGAAAATGATGGGCAGGCTGGAGCTGCCAGGGATGCTTTACAGGGATTTAAGATCACACCATCCCATGCTATGAAGATCACCTATGCTAAGAAATAACATTTGGGATAGTCGTCTTTAAAGGACTTGGTATTTTGTGTTTGTTTTGATAACATTTAGTTGGGTCATTTTAATAGTTAGAGATTAGGGGGAGTGAAAGTACAATTTCTGTGAAGGACTTAAACTAGTGTTTCTTTAGCCTTGGTGAACTATGAAATATGAAGGCCTTAATTTTGTACAATAAACTTTTATTTGTATTCTGTGTATATAATGGTTTCTTTATTGACCCACTGCCCTATCAAATGACTATTCTAGTCTAAAACACATCTTAAGGTTTATAAAAGGATGCTTTTCTAGTGTTATTTTGGAGGAGCTAATGATATAACATCATTGAACTGTTTTGATAAAAGTTAAGTAGAATTAGATCACAGAAGCCAGTAGGTGATTTGTATTAATGGTAACAGTGATTGTTCTGGGTATTAGAAGAAAATGAGACCCGGGCAGTGTCTAAATTTGATCTTTGTATCCTTTAAAGAAATGAACATATTTTGCTGGTAGTAGGGATTCCACAAGTCTTTTTCATTCAGTATTAAAGGCTGTGCTTACTGTTTACTGAGAAAACAGAGAATACCATCTTCAGACTTTGCATTTAATGTCTTTCATGAAGCACAACTGTTCCTAAGGTTAATACCCAGGCTTTTTATTGAACGACCTCCAGGGGAAAAATTTTATAATCTATAGTAATTTTTTTTCCTTTAAGACAAATAGGTTGATTAATAAAGAGTTGCCAGTGCTAAAAACTTGCTGCTACTTTGTAATTTTTAAACACCAATGTTCAAATAGTTCCAAAGCCCATTTTCTTTAGCTTTTGAATTACAATCAGATTACTGATTATTAATGTTTCTAGGCTTCTGGGCTGCTGGAGGTTATGGTTACATTGACCTGATTCTCCATTGTTCCATAATACGTCAGTGTGTGTTTCTTAAGTGCAAGACCCCCCTCTCACATAACCACAATATGACCATCAAAACCAGGAAATATGACTGGGTGTGATGGCTGATGTCTGTAATCCCAGCACTTTGGGAGGCTGAGGCAGGAGGATCACTTAACACCAGCTAGGGCAACAGTGAGATCTTGTCTATACAAAAAGTAAAAAATAAGCTGGATGTGGTGGTGTGTGCCTGTAGTCCCAACTACTGGGGAGGCTAAGGCAGGAGGATTGCTCGAGCCCAGGAGGTTGAGGTTACAATTACCTATGTTGATGCCACTGTACTCCAGCCTGGGCAACAGAATGAGAACCTGTCTCAAAACGAAACAGGAAGTAATCCCATATTATCATCCAAGTTTTGCTTATTTTCCAATAATAGCTCAAGAATCCAATGGGGATTGTGTTGCACGTAGTTGTCATGTTTAGCCTCCTGCTGATTCCTCAACCTGTCCTTGTCTTTCATGATGTGAATTTTATATAGAGATTGTCTGTCTACCTTTGGATATAGCTACACAGTTATGTTAAAAACTAGGACTATAAGAATGTCTCTGGTGGCAGTCTAACAGCACTGAGTTCATCCTGGCCTTCACCATTCCCCTGTGTATAACTCTCTTCACCATTCCTATTAACTTCATTACATTGTATTACTTTCTCATATCTTTTCTGTGCAATCACACTCTATATAAAGTAAGGCTTCAATAGGTAGCAGGGGAAGGGAAAAAGGAGAAGTCAATGCTTTAAAGAAGCTTTGATCAAACTAGGATCTTTTGACCTTCCCTATGTTGCCCATCTTTGGGAGTGTGAGTTTTGAGGAATGATTGAAGGGAGTAGTTGTTATTTAATATGTGGTTCTCAACTTTGGCTGCATATTAGAATCATCTGGGAGACATTTTCAAATACCTATGCTCAATCTACACCCCAGATCAATTAAATCCATCTCCAGGAATGAAACCCAGTCTTCAATATTTTTATAATCCCTGAGGTGATTCCACTGCCACCCAAGGTTAAGAACTAACAAAGCAGATTTCTACTTTTGTGAAGTAGGATATAATGGACCATTGGCTCAAACGGTGTTCTTCAAAAGTAGTATATTGATAAATAGAGGACAGTGTAAGTCTGGAAATGGTTGTGATGCAGAGCAGACAAACTTCAAACTTGAGGCTTAACCCAGGAGGGTTCTTGGGTTCACCCAGGAAAGAATTCAAGAGTGAGGCTGGGTGCGGTGGCTCACGCCTGTAATCCCAGCACTTTGGGAGGCTGAGGTGGGCGGATCAAGAGGTCAAGAGATGGAGACCATCCTGGCCAACATGTTGAAACCCCATCTCTACTAAAAATACAAAAATTAGCTGGGTGTAGCGGCGCACGTCTGTAGTCCCAGCTACTCGGGAGGCTGAGGCAGGAGAATTGCTTGAACCCAGGAGGCGGAAGTTGCAGTGAGTCGAGATCACGCCACTGCACTCCAGCCTGGCGCCTGGCCACGGAGCAAGACTCTGTCTAAAAAAAAAAAAAAAAAAAAAAAACAAGAGGGAGCTGGTGGTGATAAACAGCAGTCTTTTGGTAAATAGTACTGCCCCTTGCCAAGCAGGGCTAATTCATAGATAGTCTGCCCAGAGTTCGCAAAGCCTTGTCTCTTGGCAACTGCATTTAAACGCAGCTAAACCTACTTTCAGTTACATGCCAATTAAGAGAAGGCTCAATGCAAATTGAGGGATAGATTATTTAGAACTTTCTAGCAAAGGGGTGGTAACTTCTGGGTCATTGCCATGGAAAGGGGCAGTATCTTCCAGGCGTTGCCATGGCATTTGTGACTGTCATGGCACTGTAGGAGTGGCTTATGCTAATGAAAGACGAGGACAGCTGAGGATCGCTTTCCTTGACATCTTCTTGTCTCTGCCGGTTTCTTCACTTTATCCTGCCTGGACCAGATCTTGTTCTGGACAGCAGGGTTGTGACCAGAAAACGGGTCCTGCTGGTCTTCTGCCTTAGTTGCCAGAGACTCAAAACTCCATTTTAGACTTTAAGCCTTATAGTATCTTCTGTTTGAGGATTTAACAGGCATTGTTTCCCCTTGAAAATGTATCCAGCCAAGACCTAATGAAGAATGTGAGGCTCTAGCTAAAATTACGGTATTTTACTTGCCTGGGAGCAGTACTTCTCAAACGTTAATGTGCATACAAGTCACTTGAGTATCTCATTAAAACGTAGATTTAGATTGTGTCTTGGGGAGTGAGGTCTGAGAAACTTCATTTCTATAAAGCGATGTCAAAGTTACTGGTCTGGGAACCATGTTTTGGTGACAAGTGGCAAGACCCCAGAGTCTCTACCCTAATTATTTATTCAATGACTCTTACAAGTGTTGTCAATCTCTTTTTAAAGCGAGGGACTTTGTCTAAGCATACAATTTCAGAGCAATCATGCATTCATTCAGTGAATACCTATTTAATGCATACCAAGTTTCTTTCCGGGTGCTAATGATAGCGAGGAACAAGAAGAAAAGATCCCTGCCTCGCGGAGGTTTTATTGTAGTGCTGGAAGACAAAGCATCACCAAGTAAATAAAGTAGGCCCATCAGCTATGGTATGTGCCTTAAGACAGTGTATGACAGCCGCAGATGCAGGGACTGGGTGGAGGAGGGATTGGAGTGGCTCTTTCAAATTGTTCTGTCTGTGGAGGCATCTTGGCCAGGAACCTAATGCTTAGTATCTAGGGAAAAGCATACTAGGCAATTAAGTTCAGAGCACCTGAAGCAGAAATGAGTTTAGTGTTTTCAAAAGACAGAACTGGGATGGGGAACAGAGTGAGTGAAGGAGAGAGCAAGAGGTGAAATCCCAGAGCTACAGGGGCCTGATCCTACAGGAGCTTGTAGGCCACAGAAAGAAGGCTGCCTGAACTTGACCGAGCCCAAACTTAGATCCTAAAGGAGCCACGGCCTCAATTTAAGAACTCCAGACAGAGAATCTAATTTAGGAACTCTAGCAGGAGAAAAATGTTATTTAGGGATTAAATGTTTGGAGAATACATCTGAAAGTCTAGAGGAATGAGGTATGCAAACTGGGGACAGAACCCTTACTGAACCCCCAGTGACCCCAGTGTCTTCGCCATAACTGCTAGACACAACTACTTGCTGAATTACTGCAAGTTCAAATTCCTATTTGCATGCAGTTTTACCAAGAAGCCTCTAGCCTCTGTCCTGTCTCTGCCCACTTTAGAATGCTAGAACATCACAAGCTTTCCCAGGCCGCATTCAGAAGGCTTGGTATCTCATCACTTTATTTCTTCATCTTCAAATGCCCAATAATGGCTTCATGTTAGCATTCGCCTGATTTGCTAAGTTGTGATAGTTTGAATGTCACATTTTGTTTTTTGATTTTAATCATTTCACTCTGCTTTGGGGGTTCTGTGTATGCTTCCCAATGGGGAGTTTTTGCAGTCTCCATTTCTTCAAGTGCCTCTTAAATGACAATTGTCTTTTAACTCTCCCATGCTGAGGGCTGGTTTGAGACTGGAACAGTCCATAAAACAGCTGCCCCATCAGGATTCAGAAGATTTAATCAATGCTTTAGTTTTCTCAGAAATTTAGGCTCTTAGATATGATTACAGGGGAAAAAATGCAAAGGCATTCTGCTTTCAAAAATAATTTTGAATTCAATCTTTCCTTGATGTGCAACAGGAAATAAAGGATTTGTTCTAATTTGTCAATTCTAAGTTGACAGTGATAAATTGAAATAGCACCGAACCATGATCTCCCTGGGTAACCGTTAGATAGGATGGTTCAAAAAGACCACTCCAGACCAGGTACGGTGGCTCATGCCTGTAATCCCAGCATTTTGGGAGGCCAAGGAGGGCAGATCAATTGAGGTCAGGAGTTTGAGACCAGCCTGGCCAACATGGCAATAACCCCATCCCTACTGAAATACAAAAATTAGCTGGACATGGTGGTGCACACCTGTAGTCCCAGCTACACAAGAGGCTGAGGCAGGAAAATTGCTTGAACCCCAGAGACAGAGGGTGCAGTGAGCCAAAATAGTGCAGGTGTATACTCCACCCTGGGTGACAGAGCAAGACTCTATCTAAAAAAAAAAAAAAGGCAAAAAACAGAAAGACCACTGTGGCCTTTGCTGTGTCTCAGTATTCTTGTCTATAATGAAAGTATTGAATAAAACAAACTTTCCAATCAGGACCAGCTATATAAAAGATCCTCCCCTGACAGTCACACAAATACACACACACACACATAGCCACACACAAACAGCTACACACACACAAAGCCACACACACACACACACACACACACAGCCACACCCACCCACACCCATACTCACGCCAAAACTCTTTTACATACGCACACACAGATGTATTTAAACAAAGCATTACCACTATCACACACATACATACACCCAAAAAAAAAACCTTTTTATTATATTTTGCTTTTCCAATTTATTCCTGGAAAATTGGTTTGCACAAAATTACTCAGTAAGTTAACTTCTTTTCCCTCATTTTATGAGGTTACCAGTTTGGGGTTAGGGGAGAAGGCACTGCTCTGAAGTCATATCATCCACTGAGGTGGGGAGGGTGTCCTGACAGGGATCTCTATTCCAGAAGCAATGGATAGGAACAGGGGAAGGGTCACCTTGTGGGAGAAATGCCAGCCTAAACACCCTATAAAAAGCAGTAACTCACTGTCTGTCTCTTCCAATAGAAAGCAACCCTTAGGGCCAAAATCTTTTTTCAATTTACTCCCGCCCCCATGTTCAGCCAGCCAGGTCCCAGGGGATGCTGAGCAGAGGCCCCGGGAGGGGTTTTTTTTGTTTCTTTTTAAAGAGTCATGGTCTCGCTCTGTCACCCAGCCTGGAGTGCAGTGGCGTGATCACAGCTCATGGCTCACAGCCTCAAACCGCTGGTTTCCAGGCTCAAGCAATCCTCCCATCTCAGCCTCCTGAGTCACTGGATTATGGGTGAGAGTCACCATGTCCAGCTAATTGTTTTAAAATGTTTTTAGAAACAAGATCTTGCCGAGTGCAGTGGCTCACACCTGTCATTCCAGCATTTTGGGAAAAGCCAAGGCAGGCAGATCAGTTGAGGTCGGGAGTTTGAGACCAGCCTGGCCAACATGGCAAAACCTGGTTTCTACTAAAAAGACAAAAAAAAAAAAAAATTAGCCAGGCATGGTGGCCTGTGCCTGTAATCCCAGCTACTTGGGAGGCCGAGACAGAATTGCTTGAACTTGGGAGGTCGACGCTGCAGTGAGCCAAGATTGTGCCACTGCACCCCAGCCTGGGTGACAGAGTCAGACTCTGTCTCAGGAAAAAAACAAAGGTCTTTCCCTTTTCCAGATGGGTCTCGAACTCCTGGTCTCCAGCAATCCTCCCGCCTCAGCCTCCCCGAATTGTGTGAGCCACCACAAGTAGCCTCATAGCATCTTTAACCTGAACTCCTGTTTACCACCCTCCCCATCACACCCAGAATGCCATATCCTTGTCCCTTCAGCCCTCCCCACCCCTGGGGCCTACCTGTCCTTGTCTGTTCCTGTCCAGCCACCTCTTAGGACCCAAGAAGGCTGAGCCTGGGGCAAGCGCATGAACAAACCTCCCTTCTGACCCAGTCTACTGCTGGGACCTTGGGATGGGAGCTGCTTCCCTTACCTCAGGGCTCCCTAACCTTGCCAGGCACGGTCCCTGCCATGTGTCCTGTCTGGAGATGCCCCATAAATTAGTCCAGCCTAGATAGTGCCTCTCACTCTGTATGTAAAAAAAAACCTGTATCTTTAGTGCCCAGCAAGTGCTCAGTAAATGTTTGCTGAATAGATGGAGATAGGTGCTGGCAGTTCCACTTTGGTGCCTTTAGAAGTGACCCTCTGGCCATGGGAAATATGGCCAGAAGCAAGAAGTTCTGGCTAACATAAACTTGTAACTTCACTCTCTTCTCTATGACCTGTGAGCCTTGAGCTTTGAGACTGAATTTCAAAAGTCTTAGAGAGAGGAGGTAGGGGAAAGATTATTGCCCTATTTTTCCCAACCCACCTGTCTCTTAACCCCACTGGTAAGGTCTGAATGTGGCCTCAACTAGTTTGTTAGAATTCATCTCTGGCCTGGGACAGAAATGCCTTCTAAGAATCCTATCATGAAAGATTTGTAAACATAAGAAGCAACAATTTTGCATGTTCTTCACATGTACCCCCAAACCTAAAATGCAATAAAATAAATAAATGGGAAAAAAAAAGACAAAATATATTTTTCCCATTACTTTAAAAAAAAAAAAGAATTCTTTATCTATTACATAAATCTATATTTATTAATTGAATTTGTTTAAATCAAAATTATTTGTTCTATAGATCTTCTGTTTTCAACAGATTCCTACAGTTAGTATGTCTTTGCTTATAAGCTGAAAGAAAATTAGGGGTGAATTAAAACTAAAAATGGTTTGAAATTCTCGTAGTCCTCTCAACAGTGCCCTGCTGATTGATACAATAAACCACTGCTAAAGAGGCTTTAACAAGAATAGACCATTTTGGATATTATCTGTGTATACAAAAGACACAGAATTTGACTCTGTTTGGAAAATCAGATGCTAAGTAGCCCCTGAAGCCCAGCAGCCTGTTAGGAAAACGGAGGGGTGGCAGGCCCTTCTAATTGGCGGAGGTATTTACCCAGAGGTCTGGCTTTCACATAAAAGGCAGGAACCACTGAAGTCAGTCCCCGCTTCCAGAGTTCAAGTTAAAACAGAAAAAAAGGAAGATGGCAAGAATACTGTTGCTTTTCCTCCCGGGTCTTGTGGCTGTGCATGGAATATTTATGGACCGACTGGCTTCCAAGAAGCTCTGTGCAGATGATGAGTGTGTCTGTAAGGAGTTTTTTTATGCTGTTTACAATCTTTCTATTACATAATTGAAAATATATCCACTAATAGCATAAAATCGAATTGTACTTTGAAGTGAATCTTCTCTAATGTGTACGTCTTCAGCTTTGTTTCTCCTGGTCTGTGTGTTTGGTGTCTTACTAGGGAGAATTCACTTGGCTGAGATTTTGTTGCAGCTTTAATATCTTGGCTATCTTCTTCTTCTTGGATAGACACTAGCTATAAACTGGGAATTATCCGTCACTCTGATTTCCTAGTTTTTCTTTCTTTTTTTTTTTTTTTTTTTTGGAGACGGAGTTTCGCTCTTGTTACCCAGGCTGGAGTGCAATGGCACGATCTTGGCTCACCGCAACCTCCGCCTCCTGGGTTCAGGCAATTCTCCTGCCTCAGCCTCCTGAGTAGCTGGGGTTACAGGCACGCACCACCATGCCCAGCTGATTTTTTGTATTTTTAGTAGAGACGGGGTTTCACCGTGTTGACCAGGATGGTCTCGATCTCTTGACCTCGTGATCCACCCGCCTCGGCCTCCCATAGTGCTGGGATTACAGGCATGAGCCACTGTGCCCGGCCTCCTAGTTTTTCTAATATACTTTGCCTTTTACTGTTATAAAATTCAGGAGCCTAAAATGTAATCATTCAATTTTTTTTTTTCTTCCAGATACTATTTCTCTGGCTAGAGCTCAAGAAGATTATAATGCCCCGGACTGTAGATTCATTAATGTTAAAAAAGGACAGCAGATCTATGTGTACTCAAAGCTGGTAAAAGAAAATGAAGCTGGAGAATTTTGGGCTGGCAGTGTAAGATGAGATAGTTTATCATAAACGTCTATTGACACATATTGCTCTTAACTTTTCCTTCATTACCTATCTTCAACCTATTTTAATGCTTAATGCTAGTTGTTAAGAACCATGTAGCAATTGTAGATGGAAATGAACAAATTTGGGGATATTTGCATCGTTGAATTTTAAAGAAAGATAAATTTCATAAGAAAATTAAATGTAGGTTAATGTGATATTTTGGAAAAAAAAAGAAGAGTCAAATACATGGGGGCTTAAATATCCCAAAGAGTTTGAATGTTATCCAAAAACGTCTGAGAAGATTTGCCAAGTAGAAGACATGTGTGTTGAGTCAAAGTATCAATTTTCTTTTAGGAAACTTTGTACCCTCATTAATTCTAAAGAGTCAGTGTTCTTCCGTTAAAATATACAGGGGTGGTCCCTGGGGAGGGATGAAGCTGGGTTGATTTTCTGTCCTCATCTGAAGCCCCAAAGATGAGTTTTAAATTAATGAAGGCTTAAATTTAAATCCATTTAAATCTGTTCATTTGAATTTTTGAAAACTGAGAAATTTGCATCATTTAAAGTAAGTGCCTACAGTACTTAAAAAAAATGTACTGTCTATATATTTATTTATGGCTTGAAAAAAGAGTTCAGGCAGCTCACAAGACTGCATAAAATAAAGTCATGCTAAAGTAGTGAAATAAAACTGGACTACTAAAGAATAGATGCACAATCCCTGCGGGTTAACTTAGTGCTGCAAGTAAACTTTGGATTTGCCCCTGAGCCCCCTGGACTCCAGAGTGAAAGGGAGGTATTGGCAGCTATGATTCTCACCATCAGCAAAGAGGATGCCTGTGGGTTTCTCACAAGACACTCAGCATCAGCTTTCTTCTGATTGCTGCTGTTCTGGACACTTAGGTTTATGGTGAAGGCCAGGACGAGATGGGAATCGTGGGTTATTTCCCCAGCAACTTGGTCAAGGAGCAGCGTGTGTACCAGGAAGCTATCAAGGAAGTTCCCACCACGGTAAGCATCTCAAAGGTGACTCGACGAGGACTTGGATATTGGAGCAATATAGGCTGGTGTTAAAAATGCATCATGCAACTTACAAGATGTATAGAACAAAGCCCCCAACTTTGAATGGTGACTTTTCTGAGATAGTGAGATTTGGGGGACCATTTATAACTACTGTCAACATTGAAAGACAAGTAAACTTTCTCTACACCACCCCCCTTTGTTTTATTTCAGTCTATTTTTTGGTCTCATCTGTTTTCTTTATTTTTTCGGCTTTATTGGGTTATAATTGACTCACAAAAATTGCATGTATTTAATGCGTACATTATGTTTTGATATACATTGTGAAATGATCATCACAATCAAGCTAGTTAACATATACATTGTCTCACAGTTACCTTTGTGTTTATGTGTGTGTGTGTGTGTGTGTGTGAGTGAGTGAAAACATTAAGATCTACCCTCTTAGCAAATTTAAAGTATACAATACAGTACCTCTTTTGTTTTAGATGCAAGTTACCTTGCAAAGCAGTCTATGTAACAAAGAAAGAAACCAAAGTCAGTATTAACTGACTCTTACTGATGGCTTTCACTAAAGATAGGCTCAGAACAAAATCAGCAATGTTTTTGATGAAATCAAAATATTCTCGAACAACCTTTGAGTGCCTTATTTTTGTGGTAAATAGATTCTCTTTATGTATGAATAAAATTATACTCTTTCTAATGCCCTGGGGTCCTGTAAACTCAGGACAGAAATAAAAGATGCTTTCTGAGCTACTTTGCAAGGTGCTTGTTTTGAAGTGATTCTCCTGAAGCTAATCGCTGTGCTTTAAACACTGCCCATCCTACACAAATGGGACTCACTTGTCATCACTTCTTAGTATTAAGCCGAAATCTGTCGGATAACCATAAATTAAAGGTTTATTGGAGGACCTTCATTGTAAGTAGGTTTTGACTTAAAGTGGTAATTATTTCATATTCTTTGGGGGTCAACCTTTACTGACTTTAAATCCAAACTTCGCTGATTAGATATGATTTTAAAAACAGAATCTACATCTGTTTTGTAGCGTAGCCTAGTCAGTTGAATCTTTTTTTTGTTTCTGTTTTTTTCCAGGATATTGACTTCTTCTGCGAGTAATAAATTAGTTAAAGCTGCAAATGGAAAGAAAACACCAAAAATAAAGAAAAGAGCAAAAGTGATTAAAAAATGCATGTCTTTAACTTCTGACTGACGTTGTAAGAATTTGTTAGCTTACAGAAGAGCGAGGGCTTAGGGTTTGGAGGTGGCAGATGCAAGAGGATTTTCAACTCCAGTCTTGTTTCCTGCTGGCCTGGTCTTCGCACGAGCTAGAGCGGGGAGATGTTGAGCTCAAATGGGTAAATCAAAACCAGAGAATTGTTTTTCCAACTTTTTTCCAACCTAGAGAATCTCCTTGGGGGACGCATATAAAAGATCATTTATTTGTAGTTATTGCTGAGCAGTAATTCTTCCCAGCGCTCTGACTTCCTGTATATAAAATAGGCGGGTCATAGGTCTTCCTTTTAGTCATGGTGTTTTCTACTTATTTTTGTCTCTGGCCAACTGGAGTGTTAATAGTGTGTCTGAAGGGGCTGTATTATTAAGGAGTATTCTAGTATTTTTGTCACCTTTAATATTTGATGCCTTTTGGAGGTAAAGCTGTTGGGGGAAAGAAGAGTTTTTGGACCCATAGGTGTTTGGAAGATGTCTCTAATTTGTCGTTTAGAAAAATCTCAAAAATGATTTCAGTTGAAAAATTTGCCTTCCAAATGATCAACTTACTTCTCCCTCAATTTTAAAGAAATATGTGTATATATAACAGGAGAAGGTAGTTTATGGGAATAGTTTTAATGGAATGTTTTCCCTTAATGTGCATCCTTGCCGGATATTATTCAAGCTTCAAGTCATCAAAAGACCCAGAAAAAAAAAAATCTGTGGGTTATTTTCTCTACTTCTATTTCAACTTTGAATTTCCTCTTCCTGTGCAAATTTCTGTAGTCAAGTGTGATATGTCAAGAAATCTGAGGGGAATGCAGGTTTTGTGGTCCTGATGGGCCCACAAGTTTTTCTATATTTAACTGGAAATACGCTTTGATTTTGTGTTATTAATATCATTCTTTTGATGTAGTCATGAGTCTTTCTTTGTTTGCATATAATTAAAATGCCTGTACTCTACTTAATGTCACAATTTCTGAGTTTTTTCTTAAATATTTTCATCTTAGGGTATAAAAGTGTGGGGGACTTGGGAGTGGGGCTTGTTTCTCAGTTCTTTGTGATCCAGACATCCCCTAAGCATGAAGAAGAAAGCAGAACAGGGCATTTAGACTCAGCCACAGACTTGGCCCAGGGTCATTTTTTAGCTCTGTCAACTGTGATTTTGGGTGAATATCTTTTTACCAAATTCTTATGTAGGTCAGTCAAGTAAAGTGGTACCAAAATGCAAAACACAATGAAACAAAGTACCAGGGTTTATTTGTTTCTATTTTACTTTATTCCATAAGAGGTTTCAAGTAGCATCTAGGGCGCCTGATACAATTTTAACGTAAGAAGTGTTTATCCTACTTCTGTTTCTATTTGCCTCTCACTTCCTGGCCTTTCCATTCCAGAAACACCCAGAACCCCTCAGACACCCAGGACCCCCATTTCTCAGCTGGCCTTAGGCACCCAACTTCACTCCCCATGCATGTGGCTTCCAGGACAGAACTCCCTCCTTAGCTCCCACCCGTCAAAACTGAGCACATCCAGGAGTTGGAAGGTCATTGACTGATTTATCTCTCCTGGAGCATATCTGCATTAAAAGAAAGCAAGTACTTGCAGGACTGTGAACACCACCTGTCCTCTGAATGCAAAGGGCCACCCCTGGACCAGCAGCAGCAGCAGCAGCTTGGCCTCACCAGGGAGCTGGTTAGGAGGCAGAATCTCTGCCCACTGCATGCCTTCTGTGTCAAAATATGCATTCTTAACAAGAGCTCAGGGGATTCCTGTGTACATTAAAGACTGCAAAACACTGATCTTAGTTCCCTCTACTCATCTTGCAGAAAAAGAAATAAATAAAAGGCTAGAGCACCTAGGAGACAGAGCAACTCTCTCAAAGTTCAACACGATTGCGACATTCCTGTTGGTACTTTCCCAACCATATCACAGCACTATGTTGGTTCTCCACTGATGTCTACCCAGAGAACAGGGGCTGAGTGGTGCCAGGGAGAGAGTTTGTGGGCAATGAGGCCTTTTGGGACCCCTTTCCTGCTGCATTGTTCTTCTCCCTTTCCCACTGAGAGAAAGGGCATCTTAGCACCTCTAAAAGGTTGTCAACTGTTAACATAAAAATAATTGTAGTCTAATGATCATTGAGGGAACCCTAACTTGTAGGCTTCCTGGATACCCCAAGCTAAATGATATATATCTATATATATCTTTATGTATCTATATTAAATATGTATATATTTTAAGCAGTCCAAGTTCTTTGCTGTAGCTTATTTATCATGTACCAGGTATTTGGGCCTGGCCACCTGAGTACTTGTGACCCAGCTCCATTCTGGAGAGTCCCCGGCTACCCAAACTCACTCTGTTTTAGCCAAGATTAAACAGAGCAAGGGAGCTGCTACCCTTTGTCTTTTGGTCTAAAGATAGTTAATTTTGTTTAGTAAGGGCTTAGGTTTTACTATGGAGCTTGTGCTTTCTCCTTGTGGGAGAAAGAAGACATTTAATTCTCCACCTCTGACCTCACAGAGTATGGGGAGTAAGACTTCTACCTTTGGAAGAATAAGGAACCAATGCAGGGCAGTGGATGTGGGGAGGGAAGGCAGGAAGGTTTCTTGAGCCAGCTTAGCGGTGGACTTTGCCTAGAGTAAGGCCTTGCAAGGCATTACCAGGGCAGGGTGAGGCAAGTAAGGAAACTGACCAGAAGCGACAGGAGCTAGGGCCTGGCACATGGTAGTTGGCAACAAAATGAAATCATGTTGAAAGGAAATGTGTTCAGTGGCATCGGTGGCTTAGAAAAGTTAGGTGATGATAAAAGATCCCAGGGCATCTTGGAGCTTTGAAATAACTGGGCTGCCATTTTCTAGCTGTGTATATTTAGAGAAGCTTCTGACTATAATTGCAGGACCAGTCCAAACTGGACCTATGCTGTCAGTAACAATGCTGAGTTGGGTTTTAAGTATAACAGAGCCCCAAACTGCTAGTCGCATTGCCTAGGCATGCACAAGACAAAAAGCTTTGACCTCTAACAATACCCAAAACCGACGAATCCCACCTTTGGAACCAAGAAGACCAGGACAGGACTGGAACCTGAATGCCAGAACACTTTCAGAAGTGAGGGGTCTGTTGGCCCTAAAGATCTGGGGCTAAAATCCTCTTTAACATACCTTTCTGTAAATGGTAAATTTAATGCCCTCCAATCAGATCCTGCCAAGCCAACGTTCCCAAATCCTTTCTCTTGCCCACCGTGATGGGATGGCTAATACTGAGCGTCAACTTGATTGGATCGAAAGGTACAAAGTATTGTTGCTGGGTGTGCCTGTGAGGGGGTTGCCAAAGGAGACTAACATTTGAGTCAGTGGACTGGGAGAGGCAGACCCGCCTTCAATGTGGGTGGGCACCATCTAATCAGCTGCCAGCATGGCTAGGATAAAAGCAGGCAGAGCAACATGGAAAGACTAGACTGGCTGAGTCTTCTGGCCTCCATCTTTCTCCTGTGCTGGATGCTTCCTGCCCTCGAATGTTGGACTCCAAGATCCAACATTTGAACTCTTGGACTTACACCAGTGGCTGCTTAGCAACATCTTCTGCCAGGTACACCCTAGGTCATCATTCTTAAGTTCAATCTTCCACAAATACCCTGGACATGGACACAATGCAGTCAACCTCTTTGCTGGGATGTTCCATAGATGACCTTTGCTCCAGATCCCAATAAGTTCTTAATTTCCATCTGTGACCTTGTCAGTTCAACCGTCACTGTCTATATTTCTATCAGCATTTTGGTCACAACTATTTAATCAGTATCTAAGAAGTTCTAAACTTTCTCTCATCTTCCTGTCTTCATCTGAGCCTTCCAAACTCTACCAATCTCTGCCTATTTGTTACCCAGTTCCAAAGCCACTTCCACATTTTCCAGTATCTTTATAGCAATGCCAGACCCCCTGGTACCAACCTTCTGTGTTAGCCCATTTTGCATTCCTATAAAGAAAGATCTGAGACTGGATAATTTATAAAGAAAAGAGGTTGATTAGGCTGCTGCTCTGCGGGCTGTACAGGAAGCATGGCACTGGCATCTGCTTGGCTTCTGGTGAGGCCCCAAGAAGCTTGTACTTGTGGTGGAAAGTGAAAGGAGGGCAAGCATGTCGTACAGCCAGAGAGGGAGCAAGAGAGAGAGGGGGGAGGAGGTGCCAGGCTTTTCAAAACAATCAACTCTCATGCAAGAGAATAGAGCCAGAACACACTCATTACCTCGGGGAGGGCACCAAGCTGTTCATGAAGAATTCACCCCCATGACCCAGACACCTCTCACCAGGCCCCACCTCCAACATTGTGGTTGATATTTAAACATGAGATTTAGAGGGGACAAGCATGCAAACCATATCACCATCTTAGTAAGGATCACCATCTTGGCCAGGATCACCATCGTAGCCAGGATGGTGATAGGTTTTGGATGTTTGTCCTCTCCAAATCTCACACAACAACACTTCTGGGGGAACCAATCTCAAAAGGAAAGTTTCTCACTGCAGTGTAAGCACCTTGAGTTTCCATAGCTCGATGACAGTTGCTATGAGGACAGAAGTGTATTCTGACCTTCTGCTTTCTTGATGCTAGAAGTCTAAGTCTCTGGTTAGAAGTTTTGGACCTCACTTTGATAAGAGCCTTGTGCAAGATCCAAAGCACAGTGATAGCCTAGGGAACCACTAGGAGGAGAGAATGCCTCCGTAGACCACAGCAGGTGCCCATCTGGAGATTGAGGTACTATGACTTTTACTCCTCTGTGTTAGTCTATTCTCACACTGCTAATAAAGGCATACCTGAGACTGGTAATATATAAAGAAAAGAGGTTTAATTGACTCAGTTTCACATGGCTGGGGAGGCCTCAGGAAATTTACAATCATGGTGGAAGGGGAAGCAAACACATCCTTTTTCACATGGCAGCAGAAGAATGAGAGCTGACCAAAGGGGGAAGTCCCTTATAAAACTCTTAAAAAACCATCAAATCTCATGCAGTAGTGAGAACTCACTTTCATGAGAAACTGCCTCTGTAATTCAATTATCTCCACCTAGTTCCACCCTTGATACATGGGGGTAATGACAATTCAAGATGAGATTTCGGGTGGGGATACAGCCAAACCATATCATCCTCCAAAAAAGTATACATGGGTAATGGGATACATACCAATGAGAAGTTTATTCTGGATAGATTATGAGATTGCATGATTTTATATTGGATACACCTTTGTTAAGTAATCCTATAATAAATGAATGATTTGAACAGGGTATGTTTGACTTGTTTCCTCATACTATGTAAATGTAGTGGAATACATGAAGTGGGGGTTATTATAGGTCTCAGAACCTTGGGAATTATTCCACATTGTGAGGCATGATGGCTTAGGCTTCCTTTGTTTGTGGTACCATGTTCATCCACCCACTTGCTTCCAAACTCACATCTAAAAAATGGGTATTGCCTTTGAGGATTATCATAACTGATTTTGGGATCGTTAAGATGATTAAATTATGTTGGAAACAGATGCTTGGTGCCGCAAAGAAAAATCAGCAGTGAGACAAAGGATCTATCAGCAAGACAATCTTTACTTTCTGCAGACTGGGTGCTCTTGTTAGCCATCTTGCTACGAACGTATATCGAACAAAGGAAAACCAGACATATTTATCCCTTAGGCATTGGGGGTTGTCCTTACTGCTGTGTCTGATCTCTGCTGGCTGGCCCTAGACCTCACAATCTAAACCTAAAACTCGATTGGCTAACAACTTAAAGCTTTTCTAAACAGGTAAAAGAAATGGTGAACAAAAGGAAAAGAGGAAGTCAAAATAAGGAAGGTACAAGAAGTTGCTTGTGAAAGGACTTAGAAAAGTAATAACATAAATATCTTGGTTAAATTACAAGGACATAGAATGCACTACAACCCTGTGAGCACGTCTAACAGCTACACAGAATAGGGCTTAACAAACAGTTATTAGCAAAA